TAATTACCTTTAACCTTCACATTACATAACTTCATAGGGATATTCATTATACTATTTTCATCTTTTTATCTACTAATCTATATATATATATATATATATATATATATATATATATATATTAAAGAAGAAACCACGTGTAATGACGTGGCATCTTCTCAAAACTAGAAAGTGCTTTATTCTTTCTCTCATTTTCTAACCTCAATATTTATTTTTGATTTTTGATATTCACTAATTACTTCAACCTACTCATGTTCCCTCTAATAACTGATCTTTAACTCTCATTATTTCTCTCTTTTCGGTTATAATTTTTCATCTTCTCTTCATGGTATACCTCTATGATAATCTATTTATTAATCTCTCAATTATTCCTCTCTATTCAGTTATAATTTTGTGGAGGCGATTTGTATTTTTGTTGATTTGAGGCATCATTCAATAAGACAAATCATGGTATGAGTTTTTGCTTATGTAAGTATAGTATTTCGTCTTTTAATCAGAAACATGCACACTAAAGCTGAAATTATGTAGACATATGAATATTTTGTGTGTGGATAAAGTGGCATATGAATCCTTGATGAAATAAGGTAACATTGTTTAAGCATCTTACTCTATTCAGTTTTTGTGGAGGTGATTTGCATTTTTGTTGATTTGAGGCGTCATTCAAGAAGACATATATGATATGGGTTTTTGTTGATGTAAGTATAGTATTTCGTCTTTTAATTGGAGACATTCACACTAAAATTGAAATTATGCAAACATATTAATCCTTTTTTTGTGTGGATAAAGTGGCATATGAGTCATTGATGAAATAAGATAACATTTTTTTAAGTATATGTAGAACATAAAAATAAGTATTTTTTTGTTTGTTTATCCATGAACTTGATAAACATTATGCTAGAATATATTTGCATTAATGCTAAAAGAGTGTATTAAGAAAGATGGTTTATGATTTTTGTAGATCGGTAATCTTTCATATGGTTTTTAAGACATCGATGTTGATCGGTCTATTACGATTTTTTCCTTCTTTAGCATTGGCTTGAAAATTATTTTCTAATATTTTTACTTCTTAAAGGAGAAACCAAACATAATAAGGTGTCATCATCTAAACATTAGAAACCTCTCATTCTTTTTTCTTAGATTTTTGATTTTTTAAAATATTTGATATATATAAAAGACTTTCTCCTTCCTATATTTAAAACATGAAATTCATTAGGATAAGGTTCTTTTGGTAATTTTAAAAAGTTTAGCCTACAACCTTTTCATCTTCTTTCTTAGAGGTGAAACCTCCAAACCCTTCCATGTGCTCCTCTATGATTTGTCCATAAATAAATCTCTTTTTCTTTTTCTTTATCATTTGAAGTATTCTTTATTTTACAAACCATTATTATTCAACAAAATCTTTTTTCAGGTAAACTTTTTTCACTATCTCCATCACTTGATTCTTCTTTACATGTATATATATTATATTATTTAAAAAACATCATATTTATTAAATGATTGATCATACAAGTTTCAATATTTTTGTTTTGTACGCCTTACATATTGACTTTTACTATTTTCAAGTAAAATAAAATATGTCATATTAGAATTAATATACAAAATTTATATCAATATATAAAACT